TATAGGCAACCTACAAGGACAATGAAAACTGCAAGGCTCATGGCTGGGTGTTGCCTGAGTACCCCAAAGCAAAGTATTTTGTAAAAAGATTTTACTCCAGGACTAATAGCTTCCTAAAGATTGTCCCAGACAAGGAAGAACTGAGATGCAACCAGCGGAAGGAAGTGCCCGTGCACTACCTTCTCAACATGGGAGACCTTGAACAGAAAAGCTATACAGTGAGCTTCAATTATTTGGTAAGAAGTCAAAATGTCCCTCCATACCCAGAATTGTTTCTTGACTTTCAAGTTTCTTTGAACCTCATGTAGATCCTTTTACCCAAATGTCACGGAAAACTGCAAAGTATGCAAGGAGGAGAAAATTGTATAACTGAAATTTCAATTAAGAAAAAAAAAAGGTGAGGCCTGGGGAAATAGCTCAGTGGTCTCAGCACCTGTCTGCCAAGCCCAAGGACCCAGGTTAGATCCCCCTTACCACATGCTAGGCTGCTCCCTTGCAAGCAGGCCACCAAAACCAGAGGCTGTGGTGCATGCCAGTAATTCCATCACTAGGAAGGCTGATATAAAGGGATCACTACAAATCTAAGCTGCATAGCAAAACCCTGTACAAATAGATAAATAAATAGATTTTTTAAAAATTTTAAACAAGGTAACAAGGAGGGCCATATTGCTATAACCCCCAGCCACATTACCCTTAACTCACCACCCACTGCCATTTGTACATAGATAACTTCAAATCATCTTTCTGAAACTTACCTGCTGTGTGCTACTTTTGGAAATTCATTAAGTTCTAGGGACCTAAAGATTTTGGTTAAGATTCTGTTTCATTATGTAGTTGTTAAAAAGAATTAGATGAAATAACCAACATAAAACCCTTTGCACAATTCCTAACAAATATTAATTTTTATCATAATGAGTTCTGATGATAGATACCAGTTTACATTATCAAAAGGGATGCTCAGATCATCCAGATGGACGAAGATGGTATAAAATTCATGAAACATAGGTTAATCCAGACAAAAACAATTATTAAACAATCTATATATCCCTGGTAGTTTATTAGGAAATGCAATAATGGTGTATAAGCGAGTTTAACTGGAAACAAAACATAAATTATAATGAATAAAATTAATCCCTTAATTCTTCTGTATCAACTTAGTGGTCCTACATGCTTCTTTTGCTGCATGTATACAGAAGAATTAAGGGATTAATTTTAGTCATAATATGAAGACAGTACTACTCAGAGTGTGATCCCCAAGCTAGAAGTGTCAGTGTCACCTGGAAATAGTGAGAACTACAAATCCTCCAGCCTCATTGTCAACTTAGGGAGTCAGAAACTCTGGGGCTGCAGCCAGCATCTTGTTCAAACAAGTCTTCCTGGTGCCTCTCATGCATTGCAAGTGAAAAACCACAGGGGAGCCCAGAGATGTGACTCTGTACCTGACAGCACTGAAATTCTGTAGCACTTCCACAGCGACATTGCCAGACTAGGATGTGAGGAGGATCATGCACGTTTGAATGAAAAGCTGTACTTCTTAGTCCTTTTTATTTTTTTCATTTTAAGTATTTGGTACAGGGTCTCACTATGCAGCTCGGACTCGTACTCATCTTCTGTTTTCAGCCTCCCCAGCACTGGAATTACAGGCATGCACCACCACTCTTGGACTCAGTCGCCAGTTCAGTGCACCCAGGGGGTGAGATCTGCACAATATAAGGGACCAGGGATTGAACCCTCATCCCTGTATTTGCCAAAGCAGGCACTTAGTCCACTGAGCTATCTCACCAGTGTTAGTTGGTTTTTTTTTAAAGACAGTCAAACATCCCCTGCTTCCACTCCTTCTCCTACACTGCCCCATCCTTGCTCATCTTGGTATCCAAGGTCTTCTTCTTTTTTTTTTTTTTAACCAGGGATTGAGCTCAGGCCCCTGTGTTTACCAAGCAAGTGCCAAGGGCCTGCCCCCAAGGTCTTCTTTCCCGAACTGCAGCACGCAGCTGTTCTGCAGGACTGTGGTCCATTAATGTGCTACCCTCTCAGATTAGCGCTACCATTTGTAGCCTGCAAGATTTTATGGAAGTTTTACATTTCTTGAAGTCTTGGTACTTTTTCAAAAAATATTCCAAAATTTTAACTTAAAAATCACAATAACTTCCTTAACAAATTTCAAGTCTCATACCAGCCCCTTGTAGATTATAATGCAAATATACTGGTGTAAGTTTGCATAAAGTTGCTGACAAAGATGAAGTGAGAGCAGCATTCTTCTTCAAATTTTGTGTTAAATGAGGAGGTTCTTCAGACTAAACACATCTTTCAGAAAACTCCAAGAACTCTCCCTTGATCATGCCACGGTGTAATTCTGTTTCGTTAATGCAAATATATTTAGACATATTCAATGCTTAAAATATTAATAAAAAGCTTACTTTTCACATGGAGTAGATCTGTAATATAAACCGTGAACTTGAATAACAGCAAATTTATCTGAGACTCCTAAATTCCCTTAAATATACTTATTAGGTTCATATGTTCATTTACAGGAATCCCGAGCATTATGAAAACAGATAAACTCCATAAGCATATAGTTAAATGAAGTTTGTTTTCTATTCCTAAACTTCATCGTACTAATATCCTTTTTCTCCTAGGTGATTTCAAAAGGTGTAATTATTCTTCATGGACAGCAGAAAATTCAGATCAAGGCTGATGGTGAGGCTCTGACTGTAGCACAGGATGCAATGCAAATGTAATGCTTTGATTGAGATATATTTGACATTTTTCTTTAAAAGTTTTAGCCTTTTCATTTTAGGCCTGCTTGCTATGCCCAAACCATCCCAGCAGAATATATAAAGATATATGAATAGTACAGTACCAAACCAAAAAAAGAAAGTCATTTGAAAAATATGTATAGAGCTAATTATATTCCTAACATTATTATAAGAGACACTCATTGCTCCTTCCTTTTCTCTTTTAAGAAAGATAGTAATGTAATTTTATTTTCAAATAACAAGATTTAAAACTGAAACAAAATTTTAAAGCTTGATCCATGTCCAATATTTCCTTTAACATGTACAGAGCAGGTTATGAACTATTCCTAAATAGTATTTAACTATTAAATTTGAGGGTTGGGTCTTCCTCATTGGCAGGATGTAGAGGTAACTAGGAAACCAGTGGAGGGGCTCTGCAAGATGACTGTCAACAATGTCACCAAGGCACTTGATCACCTTGGCCATTTCTTTTCTTTTAATTTTATTAATTTTATTGAGAAACAAATAACAATGAGACAGTTTCAAAACCAATTAGTAGGACAGTTTCAATAATTAATACAATGCATATTGTTCTTTGTAGTGGTTATTCATAGTACAAGATGCAGATGTGATATCCTGTCCAAACACTATTAGTACAAATCTTTTTTGTTTTGTTTTGTTTTGTTTTTGTTTACTTGGCTATATTTTTATTTTTATTTATTTTTATTTTTTCCATAAATTTATTGAGAAACAAATAGCAATGAGACAGTTTCAAACCAAATTGGTAGGACAGTTTCAATAATTAACACATTGCATATTTTTTTCCTAGTGGTTAATTGCTGTACAAGATTCTGACATGATATCCTATTTACAAACACTATTAGAACAAATCCCTCAATTCATTAAGAGGATGTAACTATATATCTTTCCCAACCATTCTGAACACACAGATACAAAATGGACATTCATCTGTATCACCTTTTTTTGTTTAGTTTCATTATTTGAATATTATAGGTGTGTTAACCCAGCAAAATATTCTAAAAGAGTCCAGTAGCCCATAATAGTATTGGGTCTTCCATTTGACTGGCAATGTCAGAAATTGTTGACCTGAGTCCCCCACAGCTCAACATAACAGCATGGCTTTACTTCTTATACTCCGTTTTATACTTTTCTGCTGGATGGTTAAGACCAAGGTAAAGCAGGACCTATGCAACAAGAGTTGTAGCTTTTGGGTCTGAGAAGGTCAGTGAAATCCCCTCAGGATTTATCCTGAGATCCTGTACCTCAGATTGTAGAACCTTTGTCAGTGTCAGCCATGTGGATGAGTCACGGCCATTGCTTGGCCAATGTGCTCTCTGTGAAAGCCTGAGAGAATGTTTTCTCTCCATGTGACTCCCCTTAGGCACACTCTACATCACAAATTTTTCTTCTCATTCATAGCCGCGAAGGGCGTGTTTTCCATTCCCATTGAGGTTAGCGCCGAGCTGGCGCCCTCTGCAGTTATGTTGGTTTATGGCTTGCACCCTGGAGGAGAAATGGTCGCAGACACCACCAGATTCCAAATTGAGAAGTGCTTCAAAAATAAGGTGATAAAAAAGACAAGGAAAAAATTAAGGTCTAGTGAAAGAAAAAGTTAATGTTGATTGCTTGGTAAATCTTGCATGCCTATAGCTGGTAATATAAGCAACAAACTTGATAACAATTTATAACATAACAACCATTGTTAATTTTCTGTTCTTGTTTTGAAATTCTGTACCATTTTTATAGTTCTATATTACTTTGCTTTTGTCTTTGTTCTTGTCATGTGGGTATTCTTTTCCTCTTTAAAATGGAAAAAAACCCAAAATGTTAGTAAATAAAAACTAAGGTGAGGAAAAGAGAAAAATAATTCTTTTCAGATTGTTCAACTTATTGGAGAATTTAGAAATGTGTTGGGCTTACACTTCTATTTTTCTGTGTTTCAAAATGGGAAATAAAAGAAAGCTCGAATGGGAAACTTAACATGTGGGATGAGTAAAAAACTGACTTATAGCTTTCGCTGTGGCTGTCTTTCCTGTCCTTCAAGTGAAGCATGCCAGTAAGAAAATAAATCACACAGGAGCCCATTAATAATAACCAAAAGGATTATTTTCCCGTATGGCTCGCAATCTCTTCACTCTTGTATTTTCACTTCCAGGTCAGCTTAAGTTTTTCTAAAGAAAGAAGCTCCCCGGGCTCAAGCGTGAGCCTGCGCGTCTCCGCGGCCTCCAGCTCGCTGTGCGCTCTGCAGGCTGTGGATCAGAGCGTGCTGCTGCTGAGCAGCTACGGCCAGCTGTCTGCAGACAGTGTGAGTGCGCGCTGCCTCGGTCCACCACCAACCGCAGGCATTTACGTCTCTACTTTTACAGAAAAATGTCAGACCTCAAGTAAACTAGGGAACAAACAAATTGGCCAGAATTTTGGGAAGAAAAATAGATTAGCTTAAAAACCATGACAAATGACCTTCAGTTACTGGTGGTACAAATTTTCTTATGCTAAAAGTAAGCATTACCACTTTTTAAAAAATGTTTTACATTTTTTTTACCCCTTTAAAAATATGTTTTCTGAATGTCTAGCCTTTGGCCATGCTCTCCTGAATATTCTGATGCCATATATGCTGTTAATTTTATTCTCATATTACACATGTAGGTTTAATAAATATCCCTATTTTGACAAATAATTATTCTTAAATACAGCAAGATTTAATAAATTTTGCCAATAATATCTTTGAATAAGTCATCAAGGAATATTAAGGAGTCTCTCAAGCTTAAAGATATTAAGATCCAGTATCTTAAGTAACATAGTTGGCTTGAAAATGACTAAGCCAGCAATTATGTTATGGTTAAATAATATTTCAGTCTTTGCAGCTCTAAGATGCTATTCTTGCCTGGAATCCATTTATCTATATATTGCTTGTGAGGAGAAAAAAAAAGAAGGAATTGCTTTCTTTGAGAAAAATACTTCATGCCTTTTTATCATTTAGGTATATAACCAGTTATATTACAAGGACCTATATGGCTATTATTTCAAAGGACTTGACTTAGAAGATGGTCATAAAGAGCCTTGTCTCACAAATGAACAAATCCTCTATAAAGGAATTTATTACGCACCTGTGTGGGCTGGCTTTGGAAGTGATGCTTATGACCTTGTGAAGGTAAGTGCCTAGTCTCTGAAATGATGAATATTTGTGAGAATATATAAACAAGTTGGAATTAAAACAATAAAGAAATCATAATTTTGTGTGTCTTTAATCCAAGAATGCCCAAAACACTAAATTGTAATTACTATTAATATCTGAGAACTATTATGTCAGAAAAATAACTGATATGTTTATAATGTTATAAATTTAGCAATAAAATATTAAATAATTGCAATAATATTCTAAAGAACTATTAAGGTTGCCATATAAGATAAAAACTAGCATTTGAGAGAATTGTAAGTTTAACGGACACAGTGCTGTATGTACCTTGGACTATCTAGTATATAGATGCCAAATATTTTGTTCTTGTTTGCCTTTAAATGTAAATTCTATGTCATCAAAATGCAAACATTAATTTTAAAGTGTTTACAAGTGATATTATCCCTAGTCTGGCCAAAATGCCAAGTACAACGTGGCAACTGGATAGTAGAGTGGGATAGGGGCTGAACTTTTTTTTTTAACCTCATTTAAAGTTTTCCAACAAAAAGAAAAACGCCCTTAACTCAAAGAAACTAAGGAAACTGAAAACATAAGCCTTAGAAAACACCCATGAAGCACCTCTAAACTTAGGACCTGTAGATCTGGATGGGGACATACATATAAAACAAGATTTTTAATTTACACAGAACTGGACTATACTGGATGTCTCTGCTATTGTGTAATCTAAAATTGGTTTTCTCTTGAAAGGCAATAGGATTAAAGGTTTTTACCAACTCTCATCTCCGGAAACCAGTGCTGTGCAAGGATTTAAAATATGAAAGTTCCTATGGAGGACTTTTGACATGTGAGTCTTGTGTGAAAACGGCAGTTGATCGTTTATGACCTCATAACTCATAAGCCAATTTAGTGAAAGAAGGCAGGCTGTTGCTCAATTTGATCTGGTTTTTTTTTTCTATTTTATTTTTTTACATTTTAATAATTTTATTGAGAGGGGCCAGGGAGATGGCTCAGTGGAATAAGTGCTTCCCTGGCAAGCGCAAGGGCCTGAGTTCAGTCCCCGGTTCCGCCAAAAATAAAAATAAAAATAATAATAATAATAATTTTATTGAGAAAGAAGTAACAATGAGACAGTTTCAAAACAGGTTAGTAAGACAGTTACAATAATTAATACATTGCATATTGTTGTCTTTGTAGTAGTTATTCCTAGTACAAGATGCAGACATGATACCTTGTTTAAATACAATTAGTTCAAAACTTTCCTCTCAATAAACTAAGAGAAAGTAGCTGCATATTTATGCTATTTTGTATATACATATATTTTTTCCCTACAAAATGGTCCATTTATATCCCCTTTTTTGTTTACTTTTGTCAGAGATGTGTATTCCATTGCCATTCATATATTGTAGGTGCATGAATTCAGCAGAGTAATCCAATATAGTCCAGTAGTCTATAATAGCTGATCTTGTTTTTTAATTCAATTAATGTGTCTGTCCTATCAAACTTTAGAAGCATAATAAGAATAAGACAGTCAATGGCTATTGTCCTTCCTCACCCTGTAGGGTATATTACTATTTTTATTTTTTTCTTCCCTTTTTACGTGGCCCAAAACTCTCCTCAGTGCCTATTCTTCTTTCTATTACCTTCCTACCTCTCATAAATATAAAACTGCCACCATCAGAAAAAAAAGAATAAGAAATTTATATGCATGAGTTTACATTGAATTTTGGGTACTGACGATATATAAATAGCATAATTTCAAATGATAGTAAGTGCTCTGATAGTTAATGTTTTTTGAATGGTTTCTAGGTGCCAAGTGATGTTCTAATCACTTTCAAATGTCAACCAATTTATTCCACACAGTCTATAGATGAAAACTGTTATCCATAGTTTACTAATAAGAAAAATAAAGTATAGGGAGACTAGGTAACTTGTCCAATGGAACAGACAGAACAACAAGGATGGGGTAGTAATCCAGGCCTTCTGGCCACAGCTACGTATTTTATTATGTTGTACTAGCTCTCAGAGGAATGCTGTGAAGAAAATAAAAGGAGGTCAATGCAGACCAGGTGGATTCTGTTTAAAACAGAATCTCCAAGGAAAATCTCTAGGAAGAGGTGATCTTTAATCAGAAAACTGAATGACCTGGCAACAAGATATTATGATATGATATGAACAATGGAACCAAATAGATAAAAGTTACACAAAAAGATATTCAGCTTCACCAATAATCAATAAAAAATTAAAAGGCTGTCAAGAAACTGATCAATGTTGTAACAGCAAAAAGAAATGAAGAAAAGTAAAATAATAATAATTATCCAAAGGAAACAAAATAGAGGCACAGCTAGACATGAGAGAGACTATACATGGCACAACCATGTACCTAGAAAGGCATGTGCTTTCTACCAGAGCAACTAAACTAGAAGCACCTCAAGACAACTCTGTACAGGACGTACATGCTATGGGTTGTCTAGAACACTGTTATCACCTGACTCAGCCAGGTGGTCATTATTAAAAAGACACAATAAATACTGGGCAGTGAGCAGATAACTTGGAATATTTTGCAGCACTAAGAAAAAGAGTAAATTTTATTTTTTTACATAAACCATATTGATATGGCTTTACTTTTATACCTTGTTCTTATGTAATATATATATATATCTTTTTTTAATGAGAAAAAAGATAAAATAGCAATAAAACAATTTCAAAACAGGTTAGTAAGACAGTTACAATAATTAATACATTGCATGTTGTTTTCTTTTTTGCCATAATTTTATTGAGAAACAAATAGCAATGAGACAGTTTCAAATCAAATCAGTAGGACAGTTTCAATAATTAACACACTGCATACATTCTTCCTAGTGGTTAATTGCGGTACAAGATGCGGACATGATATCCTACTTACAAACACCATTAGAACAAATCATTCTATTCATTAAGAGAATGTAACTATATATCTATCTTAACCGCTTTGAATACACAGATACAAAATGGACATTCATCTGTATAGCCTTTTTTTGTTAAGTTCCGTTATTTGAATATCATAGGTGTGTAAACTCAGCAAAATATTCTAAAAGAGTCCAGTAGCCATAATAGTATTGGGTCTTCCGCTTGACTGGCAATGTCAGAAATTGTTGACCTGAGTCTCCTACAGCTCAACATAACAGCATGGCTTTACTTCTTATATTTTGTTTTTATACTTTTCTACTGGATGGTTAAGACCAAGGTAAAGCAGGACCTGTGCAACAAGAGTTGTGGCTTTTGGGTCTGATAAGGTCAGTGAAATGCTCTCAGGATTTATCCTGAGATCCTGTACCTCAGATTGTAGAACCTTTATCAGTGCCAGCCATGTGGATGAGTCACGGCCATTAACAAGAGTAAATTTTAAGAACAAATTTTAAGGAGAAAAATTAAGAAAGCTAACAATAGCCATCATATCATTTGCATACGTATAGAATAAGCACATTAAACAGAAACAGGTATTTGTCAAGTATGCAAAAATACTCAAGATATATGTAAAATAATTATGGTGCGAGTGAATAAAAGGAGCAGTTTTTGGGCACGGAGAGAGAGAAAGAATAGCTCATATTTAAACAATTACATGGCATCGTTGTAGATACATGTTATTTTATGTTTGCTTAAATGTAATATAGGCTAAAAGTAGCAGAAAGAGATGAACACAAATCAGTGTGTGTAGAAGGTTACTAGTAAACTTATTCCTAAAGCTGGTGCGGACGTGTCCAGAATTGCCCAGCAGCCTGCCCTAGTCCAACAGAAGCAATACCTGCTGATGCTGCACAACCCTATGTGCCTGAGAGCAGAGACAGACCATTCTGGAATTGTGAATCAGCCTGCAGGTGGCTCTAGTCCTACAGCCAAACCTCCTAATAAAAATCTTTTTTTTAATTTGCATTTTATTTTTTAAATAATTTTATTGAGAAACAAATAGCAATGAGACAATTTTGAAACCAATTAGTAGGACAGTTACAATAATTATTATATTGCACATTGTTGTCTTCTTCGTGGTTATTCATAGTACAAAATGCAGACATGATATCCCGTCCACAAACACTATTAGAACAAATCTTTCTATTCATTGAATTAAGAGAAAGTAGCTGTATATGTATCCTAACTATTTTGAATACACAGATACAAAATGGTTCTTCCTTTGTATCCCCTTTTTTATTTAGTTTTGTCAGAGAAGGATATTTCATTGTCATTTAAACTTTGTAGGTGGGTGAATTCAACAAAATATTCCAATATACTCCAGTAGTCTATAATAGTAGTGCGTTATCCGTAGGACTAGCAATGTCAGAAGTTGTTGACTTTAACCTTTTACAGCTCAATATATTAATATGGCTTTACTTTTGATATTTCCATTTTTATACTTTTCTGCTGGATGGTTAAGACCAAGATAAAGCAAGACCTATATAACAAGACATGTAACTTTTGTATCTGACAAGATCAGTCTAATAAAAATCTTAAAGACTATCCAGCTGAGCGGCTGTTGCCATTTAAACGTATCCACAAAATCTCCCACTGAACACATTATCTCAAAGAAGAGCTCTAAACCCAGAGCAGTTTTATACTTGAAAGACTATCAAAGATGAACAGCAAAGTGAAGACCTGCAGCAGTTACATTAGAAACTAAATGGAAACTGAGTAATAAAAACAAGATATTAAAATGAGTATTATATTGTTACGATATACAGGGAGACAAAGTAGTGGTAAAAGTTAGAGGTCAGTTTGATTTTACATTTTTGTCTCTCTTATTTTTTTCTAACTTACATGTATTTTCATACTGCTTATGCAGTACATATCTAGTTTAATATGGCTAATTATCAATTCCCCTAACTTGCTATCAGCACTTGTAAAATATCAACACATTATTCTCCAAACATAAGAAATATCTATTATTTTTTGTTGTTTTGTTTTTGTCTGTGGGTTTTTTCCCTTCTCTTTAAAATTTTAAAAAACAAATATCTGCAAGTGGACTATTACAGTTTTGTTCAAGTTTATTATGAGGTTTGAATGAGTAATATGTGTAAAAATGCTTCCAATACTGACTGAGTGAAAGAATGGCTCTAATCTTTTTATTGAGAACACTTAGAACATTGAGAACATTTCTCTTTTAGCTGACTCTTCGAAAGTAATCTCAGGTTCAGAAGGTTATGGAGGTGGTGGTGGATTTTATCGCGAAACTGTGAGGAAATCATTCCCTGAGACTTGGGTTTGGAATCTTATCACAACTGAGTGAGTTATTATTGCTATTACTGTTGTAATTATTTTTCACTGTCTATATTTTATTTTCCTAATAGAAAATATTCACAGTATTTATCAGCCTTCTCAAAACAAACATGTCAAATTGAAAATTAGGAAAATGTGTAAAAACTTTATACAGAGCCTCTGATAGGTTTCTACTACATTTTCTTTTCCTTTTTTTATTCTCCTTTTTTATGTCTTTCTTTTTTCCATTTCTCAACTTTGTTTCTTTTTTAAGTGAAACTTTATTTATCTAGTTATCTATCCCTATAAAAATATTTCCATAAAAATTAATGACATGTTGATTTATTGCATTTAATAATGTGAAGAACCTACATCAATGACACTTCAGTTATACACTCAACTGTTTTAATAGTATGATTGTCCCCAATTCTTCTAATTGTTTTTTGTCATTTATTTTTATTAAGAATTTGATTTTGTTGGAAAGAAATTTGGGTGGGAGACTTCAAAACAGTCTGAAGTTTTGTTTTCTATTGTGTATTATTCGTCAAGTAATATATCTAAGGGAGAGGAGAGAGAAGGAACAAAAATGTGAAAGGAGCCATAGAAGAGAAAGAAATCATGGAAATGAGGAGGGCAAAAAGAAAGTTAAGAAAAATGAACTTATAAATAAGTGTGCAAAATTCAACTATGAGGCTAATGTGCACATTTTAAACCTGAACACTATATATGGGGCTCATATTTCTAAAACTCTCAGTAAAGTGGGATAAATGTGCTATAAATAATAAAAAGTAGTTTAATAGTGGTGAACAAAGGAAAGAAGGTCAAGTCGGTGGAATGCTCTAATTATACATTGTACGGAAAAAAGCTCCTGTCTTCACGCTGCCTGATCTCCCCGCATAGCTCCACCGGAGTTGCCAACCTCAGCCTTACTGTTCCTGACACCATCACACAGTGGAAGGCCAGTGGGTTCTGTATGAATGACGACATTGGATTTGGCATCTCTCCCACCACCTCCCTGACAGCTTTTCAGTCCTTCTTTCTGGAAGTCACTTTGCCCTACTCCGTGGTTCAAGGAGAATCATTCATTCTGAAAGCCAATGTCTTCAACTATCTCAACAGAAGTGTTCAGGTACTAACTCAAGTCTGCTTTGTAAAACCAAAGTATTGCCTGCATAAATTTGTTTTATATTTCAGCTAAACTTGTCCTTCTTTGGATTTTTAAGATCTCTCCAGCTTTACCAACCATTTAGTGAGATGTGGAGCTATGTCTTACTATAACTTGATGCCTGGATGAACACAAAAGATTGAAGACAAGCCCTATGATTTAAGTTAACTTTTTTCTAGATGTGTGAGAGGAAGAGGGGTGGAATTAAATTTCACCTTTAATTCTCAAACATAACCAAGAATTTTATATATGAGACCTTTCTAAAGCAGAATGACTTATAAAATAAGGACACTGGGCATTAATTAGATTTTTAAATTATTTACCTTTCTCCTTTGTGTTACCTGAGGGTATACAGATATGTATATCTCATCTTAGTGGCTGATTTTTGATAGCTGGACAAAAATCTATCAGGGGCCGGGGAGATGGCTCAGTGGAATAAGTGCTTCCCTAGCAAATGCAAAGGCCTGAGTTCAATCCCCAGTTCCGAAAAAAAAAAAAAAAAATCTATCTGTCAATTTGATAGCATAAAAACCCAGAGATTTAAGCTTGAGTTCACTTGTTAGTTTTTTATTATCTAATTCTGTTGCTTTGAACAATATATTTCCCTCTCCCAGGGTCAGTTTATTAGTGTAAAAAAAATTGCTACTATTATGTATTTACTTCATTTCCTATGAGAATCAAATGATATAAATGAATCTTGCATAATGCACTATAGATAGGTATTGGATTTGCTTCCTTTCTATGTAACTTTTATATAAATAATAAATTCCAACAATATCTAAAACAAACATGGTCCTTAATATGATGTATTAGCTTTTCTCTTTATATATATTTCCAATGGAATAATCTCCAAATGTAACCCTTTATGGATATCCAATTATTGCAATATCAGCAAATAATAGATATAGCATGACATAGTCAAAATGCAAAGTAATGTTCATGATCGATATATTTTTACCTTATGTGATACTGTTTACTGAAAACATAAAAAGGCCTGAGGTGTACCTCAGGGGTAGAACATTTGGCTCAGAGTTTAATCTCCAAGAACACAAAAAGTAAAACTAAAAACGTAAAGTATGCAGATCTATTGAGTTGGTCAGAAAACATTGAGAAATATGCATTTGTAGGAAAAATAACACCATTTTTAATAATCATGAAAGTTTGTGTTTGCTTATTTGTTAGTGAAGTCTTTTTTTTGTAAACCTGAGTTAAGATACACTGCTCATGGGCCCGGGAGATGGCTCAGTAGAATAAGCACTTCTCTGGCAAGTGCAAGGTTCTGAGTTCAACCCCCAGTTCCGAAAAAAAAAAAAAAAAAGATACACTGCTCAAGACATTCTGTGTACTTTTTTTGCTACAGCATAGCAAGTGATTGTGAACTGTAGATGACACCGGTTTCAGTTTATAAATATGAAAAAGGAAACAGTGGCTTATTAGGACATATGACACGATGATCAATCAAGATTGGTCAAAATGCCTGCTTATTTTGCAGTAAATTTCTAAAGGAATGCATTGTTGAGTATGTCAAAAATCTATTGACTGCTTTTGCAAAATTGTAAATGTGAGAGATCAGATTATTGTAATTAACTAGAAGGATATTGATAGTTTCCCATGATTGGAAATCATTCTTCCCACAGCAGAAAATCTGAAAGGGAGGAAATTACTCTAGCTTCTCAAACATGTGGATCACTACATTTATGTACAAAAGGCTTAGACTGTCTCTCTCTTTTCTTGTCTGGCCTCACAGATTAACACTGAACTGAAAGAGTCTAATCTGTATGAAGCCAAATTTCTCTCAGTCAGCGATGAAAATGATTATACAAACAGCAATGAGAAAAAATCTTTGAGTTGGCTGGTTACTCCACACAAGTTGGGTAAGATCTGTGGGGACTGCTTGTCTTTGCATTGATTTGTAAATTTGCCTAAGAGCTTATTGTACTTTACTGCAGCTAATTTACCCACTTCTTAGTACTAGCCCCTGTTCTCCGATTCCTATTACCTTGCTTTTTCTCTTTTACAACCTAAGAAGAATCTACTTGGGTGCAGGGTGGGGAAGTTGGAATCAACTTCTGAACAAGTTAACAATTCCTATTGTTAGTACGTGTTGTAATACTTCATTCTCTCTTCTGTAAAAAGTTTGATTCCTTTACCAGTTTACCTCAGTTTAAGTCAATGATCACCACTTGCTTTCATCTGCATTCTAATAACCTTACCACTTACATTTTTGCCGTTTCAGGTGTCATCAACATCACTATCACAGCTAAAACCCTGCAGAATAGCGGCTCTGGGAAGGGGTCACCCCCAGCTCAGGACATTGGCTGGAAGGATACAGTGATCAAACCATTGCTTGTAGAGGTAGGACCTCAAAGTAATATTTATCTAAATTCCTTCTTTATTTCAACGCTACCCTATTGCTAAGATACAGAGTCAGCCTAGTTGCCCATCAGCAGATAAATGAATGGAGACAATGTGGCATAAATACACGATGGATTTTAATTCAGCCACAAAGAATGTAATCCTTACATTAGTAGCAAAGCGGATGGAAGTGAGGGAATTATTTTGTGTGAAACAAGCCAGAGACAAAAAGGTAAGTACCACATGTTCTCTCTCCGATTAGAAGCTACAAAAAAAGTAGATCTGAAAGTAGAACAGCAGCTACTTCTAGGGACTGGAAATTTGAGATAGGAAGGATGGCTTTAAATTCTGCAGGGGGTGTGAATGCCTAGAAATAACACATCAGTTCTGTTACTATGATTGATACATTTTAATTTTAAATATTAAAGAGCCAGAGGAAACCGGGTGTGGTGGTGTAAGCCTGGGGGCTACAAAAGTGAGCATAAGGCCAGCCATTACTGCTTAGAGAAACCCTGTCTCAAAACAAACAAACAAAAAAACAAAGCAGAGGAAAACGCTGCTTGCCCTTCAGAATGTTCATATTTGTAAAGAAGTGTTAAGTAACACTTTCAGGGTTCATAGAAATCAGACTAATGCACTTATTCAATGATACAATATATTATTTTGATTAAATATTTAGAAAAGGGGACCGGAGAGATGGCTCAATGGAATAAGTGCTTCCGTAGCAAGTGCAAGGGCCTGAGTTCAATCCCTGGTTCCGTAAAAAAAAATAAAAAATAAATAAATAAATATTTAGAAAAGAAGGCCAGAGGCAGACAGACATTTAGTCCAAACTATGTAAAGAGCCTTTAAACTAAAAGTGTATAATAGTCTTGAAATAGAATGACAGGATTTTGGAGCTTGAAAGATTTTTTAGTCCTTTCGTACAATTTTAATGATACTCAACTCACAGCATGTAAGATCAATTTTCAGCATTATCTTGGACCTTAAAATTCATATACTCATTGTTTATAATAATTGTTGGATGGTTATTTGTTCTATTTCAACATTATTATTAATATAAAATATTCTGAATTTCCTGATTTAAGATTATAACTACCCTCTATTCCTCCCTCACAATTAGCCTGAAGGTATAAAAAAAGAGACAACACAGAGCTTGTTTATTTACACCAACGGTGAGTAGACAGCTTTCCAGTCTTGCTAACATAGTAGCATTCTCTTTGTTTGGAATTTTAATTATGTTATGTCTACCCAGAAATATGGCTGCTGAAAAAGATTAAATTGCTTTCATGTAATAAAATCTAAATATCCTACATACCAATGTAAATTTAAGCATTTAGGTTTTCCATTTTCTCTTCTCCCCATTTCAGAAATCTGAGAAGACTTGACTTTTATTCAACTTGTCTCTATCTCTTACGTTCTCCGTATCCATGCCTTGATTTTATCATTAAAATAATCATAATTAATAAAAATATTCTATCAAAAGACCAAGAGCAACGTAGAATCATCTCTGTTTCCTATGCATGACTTACAGAACCTCCTCTTGCCCCCCAACTTGGAGCCAAATAATGGTCTCTCCTGAGTTCCCATATCCTGAGGGCTGCCATCTGCCTGGAGCTATGAACCAGCGCTGTTGTCTGAACATCTTTTTGTTCCCCAAGATGCAACTGCCTAGATTGCCTTACAAATGATACCAAAACACAACCGAATGCAGTTATTATCTGATTATTTTACAATGGCAGCCATTTGTTTCTTTGCTTAAATCTTAGAAATACCATAGAGCAGATTAAAGTGCCTGCAAGCAGGCACATGGGCCTGGGGGTTTGATCCCTGGGCCAGCCGTACTGGCCCCGCCCCCTGGATCCAGCTGAGACTGGGCGTGATGGTGCACGCCTGTAATCCCAGTACTTGGAAGGCTGTAAATAGCAGATTGC